GGGTACTGAAATTACAGACAGAAATACCCATAATGGCAGCCTTACAAGGCTCTTCACATTAATTCATAAAGTAAGCAGGGTTTGTAGAGTATATTTGAGGAAGAAGAAAAGAAGTCCCCACTAATTTGTTAATTACAAGGTCTCATATAAGATTAGACTTCACTTAAGTGAATGAGTAAAGCCAACACCAGTTGGGGATTGGTTGTAAAGCTTTTGAGAACAACCCAGGTGCTTTGTTTGGTACAGATGATGTCAAGAAGGAGTTAGTCTGATAATATATGTAGGGGACCTGAGAACTACGAAGATGCAATGAGAAGCCAAGATGCTTATAGACTATATCAAAACTCTGTTGCTCCAAACCAATGCTATATTACAAGAAAAAAATTCAGACTGATATTACACTCCCTGCCGATGTATGATTTCTATTGTGTTAATTTCAGCTTGGTGACCTTATTTTTAAAATAGTCATGACATTCAGAGTACCAAGAGCTCAGCTGCTCCCAAGAGTATCATCTGTTCTGCATTAGAAAGCTTTAAACTAAAGAACAAAGTTTCCCCCGGTAATGTTACATATAGGGATATTATGTTATATATAAGGTTATATATAGGAATGTTATATGTAGGGATGTTATACATAGGGATGTTATGTTATATATAGGAATCCCTGGGTCACACAATTCTTCTGACTCTCAAAAAGTCAAGTAATTTCTCCTCCTTTTAAAAGGCTGTCTTCATGGGGCTTATTTCCTCTTAGATGTTCTACTAAAAAAAACATAATACCTTGAGATAAACATTCTATAGATTTTCCAGGTGGCCAGTTTATATGGTCCTATTTCTCCCAAGATCAGAACAGAGTTTCCCCTATCACCAACAAAAATCTTAGTTGTGAGACAGTAAAACTAAACCTTTTTACTCAACAGCTTGAAGTTTCACATTAGCCTATCTCTGTTGTTTCATGCAGCATAAGAAGTGATGGATGAAGGCTTAGGAGTTAGAAAGAACCAAGTTAAAACAATAACTCTTCTACTTATCACCCACACCACCTCAGACATCAGTTAACTTCTCTGTTCCTTACATAATTAGAATAATAACACATGGTAGTTTTTATAAAATAATTATAGAGTGTTAAAATGTAATAATTAAGGTAAGTCTCAGTCTAACAAATTTCAATTGAGTTTATTATTTGGGGATAACAGAAAGTTTAGTAGTCTTTCTGTATCTTTGTATCTTACTGATTTTCTTTCACTTGCTGTATTTTCCCTTTCAGATCTCATTGTGGTCTTTACTCATTAGAGGCAAAAACAGTACTCTTGCTTCTCTCTTTGAATATGCCGAAACTGTTAATATGCAGAAATTGAATAGAAATCAAACACACAGTCATCTCTTAGGACTAAAATATACAGAAGGAGAAAAAGTGAGCATAATTTTGCTCCAAAACACTGGATGTTGTTTATGCCTAGGGTAAAATTTTTCAGTTTCAGCACTATTGGCATTTGAAGCTGGATGACTTCTTGTTGTGGGGGACTGTCCTGTATATTATGAAATTTTTAGCAACATTTCTGGCTTCAAGCTACTAAATGAAAGTACCACCACCCCTTTCCATATAGGAATCAGCTTATTGTTGCTCTAGCTTTCTGCCTGGAGAGTCTCTAGGCTGCAGGAGAGAAAGAAGAACCCAGGCAGAGCCCACTGGAATTCATGAGTTGAGGGGATGGAGCTGAGATTCAATAGAAACCACAGTATTTAGAGTTTGCTGTATAGATACATCGAAAAAGATACATGACACAGCAGGAGAAAACATAGAAACCTGGGAGTGAGTTGAATCAGTGAACACAGTAGATTAGAGTTCTGAGGAAAAGTCATACAGCAAACCAAACAGAGAGAAGAGAGTGAGCAGAGCGACACCTTGGTCACTCGAGAACAAATCAAAGATGTAGGTCAAAAACCCGTCAAAGAAAAGTCCAGAAACTTATGAAGATGGAAAGCTAGGGCAAAGCAAGAAAGCCAGCATGCAGGCAAGTTGCTGGAGCAGGAGACGTGAGACACAAACTGCAAGATACTATGATAATAAGATCACCACCTGAAACTCAGAAAGAGTCAGATGATCTTTCCACTATTCCAAAAGCCAATTTGAGAGCCTGCAGTGGAAGCAAATAAAAAAGCTGATAGAACAGTAGACATTTGAAGATTATGGTAGATCCTCACACTTAGCCAACCACACATGAGTCAGAAGTACTTACAAAATTACCAAATAACTAAGAGATACAAGGCATCTCTACATTGCACATTATAGAGTGTTAAATACTAAAGGGTTAAGCTAGATCTTAGACCCTTCTCTCATTCGTATGCATGGAACTCAATTATTTTGTGAATCTCTAAAATGTTTGCTTTCTTTCTTAGACCTGGCACCTTACTTTGATGCCCTGTTTGGTTATGAGAGTGTTCCTGTCAATATGTCTTGCTTCCTCAACTAAATTCTGTGTCTCTTAAGGTCAAGAACTTCATCTTCTTTGCATTTCCCATGCTGCTTAGAAAAATGCTAAGTATTTAGAAGATGCTCTGTTAAC